CCCCCTCTTCCTCACCATCATCATCTTCACACCCATCGTCACTTCCTACACTTTCATTGCTTCCAGCTTCATTTTCCTCATCTGGCCCACCTCATCCTCCATCCCATTGCCCTTCATCAAACCAAGTCCTTCCTCCCGCACCCGCGCCCCCCTCATCTACCCGTGTCCGGGACTCCAATCCTCCCCCTCCTCCACACTCCCCTTAAAAAAAAAGCTGCAGTCGCAGGACCGCAGCATTACAAAAGAGAGACAACGACCTAGGACCAAAAAGAAATGTATTGAACCTGTGCCCTCAAAATAAACAAAATGGCAGTTCTTCAGTGGAACATTCGCGATTTGCATGCAAACCAGGCAGAACTCTCCCTCCTTTTGGCTTCACACACTCCACATGTTGTCGGTCTCAAAGAAAATAATTATCAATGCCCACATTCACATTAAAGAAATTATCAAACTTACAATCAAATGTACACTGACAACCAAATCGCCTCTGGAGGCAACTCCGTTTTAATAAATAGCCAAACACTACGCAGATTAATACACATAAATACAACACTTCTGGCAGTCGCAATCAGAATCACCATACACTGTCCTATAACTATATGCTCTATATACGTCCCTCCAAATTACCCTCTGTCTTTAAAAGAACTAATAAACGTCAGAAAACCGCTTCCACCACCTTTCATCGTGTTGCAATACAGGGTACATGTCTACAGGCAACATGAGATGAGACTCCCCATACACAACAGAAGTGGGCAGGCTAGATCTACTGCTGAACACTTCTGTGATGTACAGAATGCAATAAACCCATCCTTGGTGTACACTATTTGCCCTCAGTCTATTTTGAGAGTTCGTTCTCTTTCTCTCTCTCTCTCTCGCTCTCCCTCTCGCTCCCTCCCCCCCTCTCTCTCGAGGTTAAGGTGTTTGCCTCTCATTCAATAGTTCCAGATTCGAATCCAGATAGCGAAGGAAAATTTTCTTCCCTAAAATTTTCTCCTTTCTTCACATCCTTTCCTGCTCTCCTGCTCTGTAACAAATGTTCTGTCGTCTGCTTTCGCCGCCACTTTCTGCCCCCATCCCCTCACCTCCTTTGCCCTGTCCTCTGGGCCCCTGACTCTTTCTGCAGCCTTTCTACTGCTTCTCCTTGGCTCCTTCTTACTGCTGTCTTTCAGCCACACCCCTGAACTTATGGTGGGTAAGATCTACACACCTAGCCTTCTTGGACAAGGGCAAAAAATCTTGGAGGTCCAGTGTGCAAGTTGTGCCCATTAAAGATCCCTTGGTGATCCAAAATGGATAATAGTAGGCTTCGGCCGCCACCTAAGCAAAATTCAAAATTTCCTACTAACGGAAAATGAAAAAAGATTGGTGTGTCACACTCGCTCATATGACCTTAATCAGTTGCGAGTGCAGTAAAACACTTACCAAAAAAGAGCCGCACAAAAGTCCCCCCCAAACCCTTTTGAATTAGCCTTTCAGCAGTCCTATGCCTGAGATCAGCCCCGGGTTGGACCTCTGAAGGGAATGGTTTGCTTTCTTCATTTTGATCACTCCTGGCAAAGACGGCCACCTGTGCTATACAGCCACTTTTCACCTTGACAATGGGTGGCCGTTTTACACAGGTTCAACTTGATTTTTATTCAGTATGGTTGGGTATTTTTCCCCCAAAAGCAAGACTGATGAAACAAGCTTTAAGATGGTTCCACTTGGGTCTTCATCGTCTGACACTTTTTATTTATTTCACCCTTGCACAAAATCAGCAACCAAAAAAATAAAAGTTTACCCAAAAACAACCTGCCCCCCTCCCCTCCCCCCAAATTTTTAAATAATGTAACCCTTCTTACACCCCTTTGATTCCATTATTTTGGCAAGAGCCTGATTTCCCCACGATAGCTCACAAATGTTAAAAAGTCTCTGATCTGATCATCATTCATCTCAATTGCACCACAAGTCACACAAATTTTGGTCTGTGATCTCATCTGTTTCTTCTAGTGCACGGTCAGTGCTCTCGCCCACTTTTGTGAGACTCACGAAGTATGTGCCCTTGGTTGGGTCCACAGGGTAGAGTCTTATTTCGTATCTCATGGCATTGATAAGATGCAGGGCGACTTTAAAGCCCTCATTTTAAGGCAAAAAGTTACATTTTATACTGATGATAAACGCTTATAGAGTGGATTTGTCAACCCCAAGTTTAACTGGCTTGCGCAGTCATTCGATAAATAATGGAAAGCAAAAGCTGAGTATTGCTCTTTCTGGAAAAGCTGGTATTGACTTCTGTCGAAATGTGTTAATGCCTTATCTGTTTATTATGCTGGTGCTATGTTGTGTGAGTAAAAACAGACTTCTTGCAATTTTTTTTTCTTTCAGGGGAACATTCATTGAGTTTAGAAGTTCCATGATAAATATTTGTCCTGTTGGCAGAAGTTGCTCTCAAGAGGAAAGAAATCAGTTTGCACAGTTCGATCAGGTTTGTCCCATTTCTTTGAAGAAAGCATTTCCTTCCATCGTATGTTTTATGTATATGATTTGTTCTCTTGTTCTTATTTGGACGTGCTGCTGCACAAGGAAATTTTTTTGGATAATAACTTGCACTTTCAAGAAAAGGGGAAATTTTAAAAATGATGACCATGATTTATCATTAAATAGTGCTACTAGCAACATCGTGTCCTATACAAATGTTGTTGGTTTGAAACACTGTAGGATTTTCATTCTTGTGATTAAATTAATATGTGGAGGTTCACAATTATAAAGCCTTATATAGAAGACTCTCACCCTACTATGCAAAAAAAATATAAGCCTGTGGGGTGGGGGGAACTTCTAGCAAGTGTGCTGAGGAGAGAAAAGGGACTCATATATTATGTGTGAAAGAACACTTCTTGAGTTTTCTTATCTTTTAATCTTTATTTTCAGGAGAACAATATACGACAGGCCTTTGTAGATGCACTCAGAAAAGAATTCCCGGACTCAGGGCTGGAGTTTGCCATTGGAGGACAAATCAGCATTGATGTATTTCCCATAGGATGGGATAAACGATACTGTCTTCAGTACCTAGAGAAGGATGGCATCAAAACAATACATTTCTTTGGAGACAAAACTGGAAAGGTATGGTCTGTAGTTTATACGATTAATGGTTATTCATTGATTTGAAAATAAAAAATTAGAGCTTCAGTAGTCTCTGCCTAAACACAGGTCATACAAAAGCATGCTCCGCTCAAACGCATGCTATAGTCTTATGACTTTTTTTTACGATATAATTTAGGGGTCTGATAATTTAGACGTACAAACGCACTGTCATTTCTTCTAAACGCACACTTCAATCCGCGAAACTCGCCGACTGGCAAAGCTTGACAAGGGGAAATTTTTGCTGCAGCCTACACAGCTTGCCTTAGACAAGCCTAGACTACTGGATACCTGTATTTTTGCGAGACTGGCCGAACAAAGAGAGTGATGGACAGTTTTCAAGCCCAACTTTCCTCAGACACATATAGGTCTAGGACTGGTTGGGTGATATGGATTTGGAGGGGGGGGGG